ACAGAAAGAAATAATGGAAGTGGTGTACCTGGCAGAGGGCATGTGGCTCATGGGGGAACAGCTTCAGAGTGTCTTCTGTCCATTAATCCCTTTAGCATTCTAGCTCTGGCTCCTCAGAGGTGGATTATCACGAGGAGCTGTGTTACATCAGCCCGCAAGCCTTGGTCCCAACCCCATTAGGCCCATAAACGTTCTGTATTGCTGGGATAATGGGCTTTGGAGCCATGTTTACCGATATCCACGGGCTTGTCCCACTCTCAGCAGTCCCATCAGGGGCAGAGGGAGGCCTCTGCTCTCATCTATGGGACTGACTCTCTGTCACACCCCTTTGGAAGGTGAGAGGAACCCAGGTGGGATGGGACGTGGCATGTGCTCGGGTTATATGTAGGTGAGCTGACCAATTCTGCATCAGACTTTGGTGTTTACTTAGGATTTTCATGGTGGGTAGACACACTGTTTCCATTCAGACTGCCTCATTAAATTCTAAGTGCGATACCTAAGGTGTGTCAAAAATGAAAGGCAGAGTTGCTTCTCTTGAAGTCTTTCTTTGTCTGGTATGATGGGCAAAAGGGCTTCCCCCATGGCTCAGCAGGTAAAGAATTCACCTGCCAATGCAAGAGATGCAGGAGATGCAGGTTCAGCCCCTGGGTCAGAAAGATCCCTGGGGCAGGGTAGGGCCTGGCAACCCACTACCGTATTCTTGCCTGGAATATCCTACGGACAGAAGAGTCTGGTGGGCTGCAATCCATAGGGTTTGCAAAGAGTCGGACATGGCTGAAGCCACTGAGCATGCATGCATACATAATGGACAGAATTTGCCTGTTTCTAAGCTTACAAAAACCTTCTCGGTCTGTGCTGTCGTGTGTCAAATGGCAATAATAATGATAATGCCTTCCTTCTAGGTTAGGACAGTTGCATGGGTTGATATTCGGTGAATGTGCCCGCCTGACATTGTAGAAGGCACTCTGTGAACGTTAGCTAAGATGACATGAACTAATCTAAGGGAAAAGGTCAGTAGACATGTTGGAAATTGATACTAAGAAAGAAGAAGACTCATATTGGGAAAACTGGGGTTCAGGGGGAAGACTGGCAAGCAGACTTCTGGAAGTGGGAATAGGCAGGGTGGTGTCTGTGACCTCCTTGCACAGAAGTGACCTGCATCAGACAAAGCAAGAAAAGAAGGACGCAAGCAGTGTCAAGACTGTGAGTGTGGTACAGAGGGACGCAGGCTTCAGTGATGCTCACACCTTCACTACCATTCTCAGTTACTGTGTTCATGGCTTTTTTCACTCAACCCACATTTATCATTCAACCTGTGCTGTGCACTGATGTTATTGACAAAAATTATTCACTCCCCACCCTTAAGGAAGATGAAGGAGGGGGCAGGTAAGTCACCAGACAATTGGACAATAAATTCATGAGTGATCAGGAGGAATGAGGTACACTGGGAGGGGTTCTAGGAGGAGCTACACCTGAGATCAGGTGAGTAAGAATCACCTAGAGAGGGGAGAGGTCTTCTCAGGTGGAGGTTGCTGCATGGGGAGAGTCATGGATGACAACGGATGACAGAGTGTCTGACAATTAGTGCCTGCTAATTCCCACATCTACTCGTTTCAGAGTTGGTCTCCACAGTCTGCTTGTTCTCTGAAGCATGGATCATATTTTCACATGTCTGGCTATCTTGGATTATATTCTGGATATTGTCAGTGATCTCTTGTAGAGCCTATGGATTCTATTATGTTCCTAAGAAGAGTGCTAATTTTTTATTTTAGCAGGCACTGACTTTGATTGAACTCAAACACCAAGCCCCACCTCCCCTGGGGGCAGAAACTGAAATCTCTGATCAGTTTTATTAATCTTAGCTGAGTTGCTTGGAATCTATGTCATGCGGCAGTCAGGCATTAAAGTCCACAGTAGATATTTCAAGAACTCCAAGCAATTCAATATGCTCAGAGGACAGTGTGTGTGTGTGTTGGAGAGAACTAGAAGGACATGCAGCTTAGAGAAAGGCAAAGGCCGTGTGTTATACTAAGGAATTTGAGCTTTATCCCAAAGGCTGTGTTGGAGAACTTTAATCAGAAGTGTAAAATGATCAGACTTGTGTCTCAGAAACATTTCTTAGCATCTGTGTGAGGGATGAACCAGAAGGGGTAGGAAGATAGTTAGGAAGTTTGTGGGTAGAATAGAGTTCAGTTTTCTCCTCCATGAGACGAGGGGTTGAACTTGCTGACTATTAGCATCTCCTGTGGGTTTAACAGCCTGTGCTTCCCACTGATGCCCTCACTTGGCCTCCTGGAGCCACGAGTTCCTGCAGGGCTGTGTTTTGCAGAGTACTGCACACAGCTTTTGAGTTCAGACTGTAGATCATGCAATTAGAGGAAAATACACTTGATGGTGTTCCATGGTCTATGAATAGTTTAAGGTAAAGAGGGGACAAGGCAACGCACGTGGATGAACCACAGGTAGAAACAGCCTCCCAAGGTCCCTGGCTCTCCTTTCAGACCTCCCGTATCACAACAGGTATATGGTTAATTCCATGTGATCTTAAAGGGCCTATGGCTAATCTGGCTCTGAGTTTTTTAGTCCTCCAAGAGGAGATAGGTTTGGTATGAGCCCGGTGATATGGACCATTTGCAGTTGTTCAGTTGCTAAGCCGTGTCTGACTCTTTGTGATCCCATGGACTGCAGCACGCCAGGCTTCCCTCTCCTTCACTGTCTCCCGGAGTTTGCTCAGACTCATGTCCATTGAGTTGGTGATGCCATCCAACCATCTTATCCTCTGCTACCCTCTTCTCCTCCTGCCCTCAATCTTTCCCAGCATCAGGGTCTTTTTCCAGTGGGTCAACTCTTCACATCAGGTGGCTGAAGCATCAGTCCTTCCAATGGATATTCAAGGTTGATTTCCTTTAGGGTTGATGGGTTTGATCTCCTTGTTGTCTAAGGGACTCCTCTTCTGGCGTCATATCTTTCTGCCTTTTTATACTGTTCATGGGGTTCTTGGGGCAAGAATACTGGAGTGGGTTGCCATTCTTTCCTGCAGTAGACCATGTTGTCTCAGAACTCTTCACTCTGACCCATCTGTCTTGGGTGGCCCTGCATAGCATGGCTCATAGCTTCATTGAGTTACACAAGTCCCTTTGTCATGACAAGGTTGTGATCCATGAAGGGGACCCTTGGCAGTAGGGTACTCAAACTGGGAAGGATGAGAAGATATATTTGCTTTGGTCCCCTGAAAGGCTCAGGAGATGGTGTGGGTGTATTGACTTCATCATTTCCTGGTTCTGGACCAACAGGAAAGTGAGGCTTCCCCAAGCCTCAGGATGCGCTGCGCCTTCCCAGACTTCCTGGAAGCAAAAAGCTCCTTTGTGTTGAACCGCAGATGACACACGGGATGTCCTGGGGATGCTTTTTGTATGGGGAGGAGCTGACTGGGGACGTATCTGCTGTGTTCTGTCCAGGAACCACAGACGGCAGTCGTGGGGGCTGGAGTGAGTTTCAGGGGTCGAATGAGAGCTATGGACAGGCAGAGGGCAGGAGGAGGCGGGCGCGTCCCGCTGGGGGTTTGTCCCCAGCACTCGCCCAGTGTGGGCACACGGTGGATGTGCAAGAGACCTCAGGCCCAGCCTTGGCGGGCAGATATAACTGGGACTTTCAGCCCCAAGTGAGTGAAGCCTGGCCAGGGCTGAGACACCGGAGGATTCTCTGCATCTTTAGAGAGAGGAATTTTTGCTCAGACTCATTCTTTTTAATGCGGCTTCAACAACAGGGACTCTTGAGGAAAGGGGTGTCCTTCCAGTATGGGGGTGAGCCCTCTGCTCTGATGGACCTGCGGTGGTTTCGGTCACACACTGTTTTAAGAGGGAAAAGTCCCTTTTACAGCAGGAGACAGACAGAGGATCAGGCATGGCCTCAGGAAAGCAGAGGGGCAGGCTGTCCTGGCCCTGGGTGTGCCATCGGCTCAGCCGACCTTGACCACAGGGCTGGGTCTTGGCCCCGGAGGGAGAGAACCTACTAAGGAGCCAGTGACTTCAGGAAGATTGGAATAATTAGTCAGTTCTCACTGCTACAGTGAGTCACCCTCCTGGAGACACTGCGTTCCAACCTAAGAGTTAGGAGCTGGGGCAGAAGATGCCTGGCACGGTTCCCGGGGGACGCACAGAAGCCACATGGGGCCCAGGGGCCTCTGTTCACTTCCACTGCCCCTGCCTTTGCTCCCTCCTTCTGCCTTCGGCGGGAAGGGATGTGGGAGCCACCAGGTTCAAGGCTGAGCAGGGTGGAAATGGGAGGATTGTGGGCAGAATTCAGTCTGGACCCATGGAATTCCAGGGCCACTGTATCTGCCCCAGGGTGACTGATGGTCCTGGCTTCCTGGTGGGAGTGGGACCATCCCTCCATGGGAAGCAGGAAGGGGCTGGAGTCTCTGTGACCTTCTGCCATGTGGCCCAGGCCGCCCTGTGCCAGCTCGTGGCAGAGGCTTCTCAGGGTTGGGCAAGTTTCTGAGCACGTCTTTGCCCTGGAGCATCCCCCTATGGGCAGGGTATGCATGATCTGGAAGTGAATGGATGTGGTTCCTGGAAGCCAGGCCATAGCAGCGCAGCCATTGAGGCCAGATGTTCTGTAGTTACCTGGTGACAGTCGAGGTGTGTGTAACCAGACACAGCTCCCCTTGGAACCAAGAAGGTCGATTCCCAGAAGCTGACCCTTGGTTTTCGTCCTCACGAGGCCCCCGTTCCAACCAACTCGCTAAAGGGAGGCTGGGAAGAGAGTGTGTGGTTGCCCACCCAACCTAAGTGCCTCGGAGGTGCAGGCAGGACGGGAGCCTTCCTCCCGGGACAAGGGGGGATGGAGGAGGTTCGGGAGGAGTCTGGGTGGAAAAGTCCAGATGGGGGAGTAGATTGGGTGGACCCTGCTGCTTCCTGGCACAGGAGCTTCTGGGCTTCACCTCACCTTTGGGCCTTCTTTCTGCTCGGCCTTCTCTCACCCCTTTCCTTTCCTCCAAGGCTATTTTTTAGTGCCTCTCAGGGGCTAAGTGCTAAAAATCCATTGGAAAATCAACAAGCTGACATTTTGGGAGCAGAACAACAGAAATGGGTGAACAGCTAGGTAAGTCAGGTTATTTGCAACCCTGGGCAGCGTAGTGACGTGATGGAGAGGCCTGGGATGTGACTGTGTTCACAGAGGTGGGAAAGCCTCCCTGGGGCCGTGGGTCTGGGCTATGACCCCTTCCTGTCAGGTCTGGGGAAGCATCGTTCTAAGCGATGGGGCGGCTGGCCCCCTGGCTCTGGGTGGGGGTATCCAGGGTGCAGGCGGCCACAATGCCTGAGGGAGCCTGGAGGCTGGTGTCTGCGTCCCCGGGTGGAGGAATGCTCCCTGGACTTGTTCATGCTTTGGACAGTGAGCAAGCAGTAAACTTGGATTGTGTTAAGCCACCTCCACGTTGGTGTTTGTTTGTGGCAGGGTTAGCACCAGTGTCTCCACGCAGGATGCAGCACAAGGACCTGGGTGCAGAAAGGACCACCCGTGAGTGGCCAGGTCGCACGGTGGGTGGGGGCGATACATGTCCCCCCTCCCCGCGTGGTCATGCTGGAGGCTCTGTCCGCGTCTAATGCCAACTCAGAGCCAGCTCATCATGTCACCAGGTCCCCAAATTAAGCAGTAATGTGCTTGTCCAATAAGCCCCATATGGCTGTGATGAGTCAGGACCACATTCTGTCAGCTTTAAAAATTAATATTATTAATGACGATAATGAAATCTCGCAGTTTTATGCCATGCTTTTCTCCTAAAGGGCTCGAAATGCAAGCATTAATGTATGTGTCCACGCAGCCCACCAGCTGTGTCTTAGGAAGGAACGGAACGTTGGGGGGACGACTGCGTTCTTGAAAACGAGGCTCACATCTTCCCCCTGTCTTTACCCCATAAGGACCGCTCTTCTTTCCTGGCAATAAACTGGAAGAGTGAGATAGAATTAGGGAAATGGGATTATTTTAATGTCGTGGTGAGGAAATGAAACACAAAGTAGGGACTGGAGTTAATTAACCACCATAGAATGCCTGGTTTGGGACAACTAGCAGAGACTTGCCCAACGCACCATGTTCACGGAGAGAGGGCGTGGGGTGGGGACAGGCTGATGGGCTGGGCAGGGGAGCTGGAAGGGGCCCCACTGGCCTGGGAACAGCAGTAACTTTGCATCTGGTGAGGAGCAGATGGACTGAGTTCTGAGGGGTGGGGATGTTGAGGACCAGAGACCAGCCTCATCGGAGGGTTAAATGTGGGAGTCCTCCCAGAACCCAAGATGCTTCATAGAACCCAGGGCCATCCGTGGGGCGGGGCATTGATGTCTGAGGGGAGGAGTTAGAAAGGGTTGAGTCACAGGGGTCACAAGTAGCGAGGAAACCATGGAGACCATGACCTGGTCATTCGTCTACTTCCAGGAAGGTCTGCCACCATAAAAATGTTCATTAACCTTTAATTCAACAGGTATTAATCAATTGGCTATTATATGCTTTTCTTACTCTGGAGGAGCTTGTAATTAAGGTAACTGTATCATTTATCATCCAAACTGGGACACATTTGAGAAAGAAGAGGGTCACTACTAATGACTACGTGGGGGTGACAGACACACACGGAGACTGGCCTGGGCAAACTGGGACGCGTGGTGACCCCACCGTGGAACCCCACCCACTCAAGACCAGTGCAGGAGATGCGGGCCATGTGGACAGTGTGTAGACGGTGCCTGCATCCATGGGTTCATCCTCCCAACCGTCAGAACCCTGCTCGAGCCCTCCACCCATCCCACCGCCACTGTAGCCACAGACTGCGTTTATGGCCTTTGGAGGTTACCTAACCTTCCTGCACACCGGAGTCCATACCTGCCTGGCAGGGTCATGGTGAGGATGACGTGGGTCCCTGCAGGTTGGCCAGAGCAGGGCCGGCCACTGCAGACAAGCAGCTGTTACCAGGGGAGCCTGGCGTGTCTGCACTATGTAGGGCTCCTCGTCCGGGAAACAGAGACTGCACACCTGCCTTTTATGGGTCTGGAATTCAGGGCACGTCAGTCCCCCTCCCCTGCAGCTGACATCAAAGTGTGAGCTTAATACTTTCCACACCAGTTCACAGATTTATGGCCTAATATATTTAGAGGTGGTTCAAGAACATCTCAGGAGGGGACAGAGGAGGAGCCCGTGGGGAAGGGAGCATGGATGGGTGTCCTTACATGGAAGAGAGGTGAGCGGGGACCAGAGGGATGGGTGGCCAGGCTGCACCACACCCCCGGGCCAGGCCAAGGCTCTAGGAGGCATGGGACGGCCTGGCCTTCATTTCAGGATGAAAACCAGAAGGCCTTTCTCTAAACCTGGGTACCTCTGCCACCAGATAGGACCAGCTCTTCAGCTCCCAGGGTTTGACCTCCACCCACGGCTACAACGAGAAGAGCACTCAACTATTCCAGCTAGTATACTGGGCTTTGTTTCTGCTCTCTTTTTTTTAAAAAAAAACTTCATTAAGTTCATCCACAAAATAGGATGTTATATATTTTTAAAGAATGGTTTTATAATGGAAAATTTGAAACATAATCAAAGTAGCTAGACTTACTTGTGCAATGAGTTCCCACATACGTATCTCCCAGCTCCAGCTTCAGCCATGATCAACGCTTGCCAATTCAGTTTTATCTCTTTCCCTCAAGACTTTTTTTTTCCTGAGATGTTTGAAAGCAAATTCCAATTTATCTGTAAATACTTTGGGACACATCCCTTACAGACAGGACTTTTTAAAAAATGTAACCAAATGCATGTACTACCCAGACAACAATACCAACAGCAAAAATAACCCCAGCAAATCGTTAGTATCCCCTAACATTCAGTTTATATTTAAATTTCCCTTATTTCCCCTTATTATCAAAATACCTTTTATTTTTGGTTGATTTGAATCGAGCCTCATAAGGTCCAGATGTTAGATTTGCTTGTATGTCTCCAGAATCTCTTTTTATCTACAAATGTTCCTTCTTCCACTGTGAATGTCATTTTTTTTTTTTTTTTGAAGAAAACTGGGTCAGTTGTCCTGTGGACTGTCTCATATTTCGATTTGGCTCACTACCTCATTTTGTCTTTTTAAAAATTCCGTTATCCTCCTTATTGTCTGTAACCTAGAACTTAGATTCTGGCTTCATTTGTTTTGGAGGGTCAGGGGGTGTTCCAACTGGGGCCCAGTACATCCACTGGGGCTACATCAGAAAGTGCTTTCAGCGATGCTGAGCCCGGGGAGTAGGCTCGGGGGTGTCATCCTGGCCCCTCTGCCATAGAGATCCCCCTTAACCTTTCATCTCACACTTTCAGCATCTGTCGATGACCGTTTTTCATTATTTCATTGAAGCTTGTGAAACATCCATTTTTTATGCCATTGTTCCCTTTGCATCTAGCACCTGGAAGTCTTCTGGAAAGAAGAACAGTCCCTCATCAGCTTCTTAGTTACCTTGATATGCTTTTTAGCAGGACACCTGCTTATCTTTCATTGACCAGCTTTCAGAATAATAACTTGGTGCCCTCACAAAGGAGGCTAGATCTGTCATTAATTAATTAAGCACATATTATTGAGTTCTTCCAGTGTGATAACATTTCCCTAAATCCTGATGATTCAGCAGTGACAAGGTAGAAGTCACTGCTTTATTGGAACTCACCTTCCAGTGGGAAGACAGACACTAAAGGAGCCTGTTTACATGCTGTGTGAGGTGATGACAGAGGGAAACAGGACAGGGCATGGAGGTGCTGGAGAGTGGGAACTGGGTTCACATTTAAACAGGGTCATGGAAGCCCAGGAGAAGGTGACATTTAAGCCAAAACCTGATAAAGGTGGCAAATGAGCATCTGCATGCTGGAGAGGAGCCCTCCAGGCAGAGGGGCTGGAGGAATAACAGGGGAATGACAGAGCCAGCGTGGCTGGTGTGGCCGGCGTGGCCATGAAGAGGACAGGAGGTCGGGGGTGGGCGCGGGGAGGGGCAGATCATGTGGGGCTTTCCAGACCACTTACGGACATGGGTTTCCCCCTGAATGAGCTGGGCAGCCGTGGAGGATGTGGGCAGAGGTAAGGCATGACCTGGCTTATGGAGCAGTAGTAGGCAAGAGCAGAACTGAGCTCAGATTGAAAGCAGAGAGGGTCCTTCCTTCCCGGTAAGCTCTGAGCATCGGACTGACAGCTGGACTACAAGAAATGCTTCTCAATCCATCCTTACATGTCCCGAGGGGTAGCATTCTCTTCGGCAGCTTGACTGCTTTGTATCATCAAATCCCAGGGAAGAAACCTTCCTCCCCGGACTCCTAACAGAACAACTGTCCATCCATCATCTCAGAGAAATGGCATTCCATCCATCATCTCAGAGAAATGGCATTCCATCCATCATCTCAGAGAAATGGCATTCCATCCACTCTGAAGGTGGGGTCCCTGGGGCTCTGCCTCCCCTTGACCCGTCTCCTTGTTTGCTTGGTGGTGAGTCTGTCAGGACATCCTCACCATGGCTGAAGGGCTGGTATTAACCAGCCAGGGATATCCAGTGGGACTTTCCTATGAGTCCAGGGCTAGGCCAGCATTTGAAGTGCCACGGGCTGTACCTTCATATACCCACCCATCCATCCACCCATCCATCCACCTGTCCATCTACCCATCATCCACCCATTCACCCATCCATCCATCCATCCACCTGCCCACCCATCCATCCACCTATTTACCATCCATACATTCATTCACACCCACCCATTCAACCACCCACCCATCCATACATACACACATCCACCCATTCATCCACCCACCCATCCATCCATACACACACACACACCCTGCCACACACCCATCCATCCATCCATCTACCCACCCATCCATCCATACACCACCCATCCATCCATCCATCCATTTACCCACCCACCCATCCATCCACTCATCCATCCACCCATCACCCATCCATCCAGGGTCACCACTGCAACCATGGTAAGGGTTGACTTAACAATGTAGGCTGGGCACCTTTTTTCTTCCATCCAGACTTCCCCAGGCAGCGTGGAGCACACCTTTTCATATGTGCTGCCTTTTCAGCCATCCAGAGAGCCTTTTTGTGGATGAGCATCTGTCTGCCTGTGACTCCTGCCCGTTATAGGTTGCTTATGAATTTCTGGGTGCTTAGCAACCAGGAGAGGCGAGGATGCAGGCAGCCGGCATGCCTGTCAAGTAGCTGCTCCTCTCTCTCATCTTCTCCTCTGGGTTTGTATCTGCAGCGAAAGCAGCCGGAGAGGAACCCAACCTCAACTTAAATAGTGACTTTTTAAATAAATAAAAAAAACATTTAAACTGAATCTAGTTCAAGCAGATCTTGCCACAAAGAAAGCTGACAAGCCTCCCTTCTCATCCTCCCCTGTTGTTACCTCGGATGCTCCACTGTGACCTTCTAAGATCTTTTCCACAGATCTGACGTGAAGCGGGGGACAGGCCAAGAGAAGTGAGGAGGTGGAGGAGGCCAGGTCACCGCACACGGCACAGTTCT